TCCCTGGTCCTTACACGGCCGGACCGCCCGGGAAAACAAGGTGCCCCGGGCGACCCGGCTGGTAGCCTAGACAGTGACTACAAAATCACAGCAATTTGTTCAATTTTATTGTTAATAACTTACCCTGTTGGGCCTGTTCAGCAATTTGTTCAATTTTATTGTTAATAACTTACCCTGTTGGGCCTGTTCATATCCTATTACCTAAGTTACTATTGCAACGATACAAAAGAAGCTTGATTAGCCAAAGTGGCCCCTGCGCTTTAAGTGATGATGACACTCCTAAATTAGTAAATTCAACTAAATTGAGAAATAGTCCAAAATTTTCAAACAAAAATCTTAGCCCTCGCAACGATGAACAGCGCACCGAAATGCGACACTTAATGTGAATAGCAGAAATCCGTGAGCCATTGATACGTTGAAAGCACATAGTGCCAAAGGCTTCCGGCCAGGGCATTCCTGCCTGAGCATCATGGGGAGAGGGACGGGGAGGAGGGGGGAAGGGGGAATAGAAAGAGAAAAGGTTAATATGCACAGAGCACAGACAGAAAACAAGGTGATAATACTGTTTTGAAAAAACTACACGTGGAAGTTGATGTTGATGTCAACCGGGTCACTGAACTCACCCATTTTCGTCTGCAGACAGCAGCAATGCATGTCGTGGCTTTCTAGCTTCTGGATTCTCGCCCGATGTGCTAGTCTCTACAGGGCCAGAAACTTCGTTCTCCTCAGTCTGTTCTCTTTCTATTTCGTCATATAGAACATCTAGTCGCGTCCTCAAGCTCCTTATCACATCTCCCTGGGAACAGACGTAGGCATCGTCAGCAAAGTCGTTCAGTCACATCCACACGAAGATTCATACTTATTTTACAAATTTGAGAGTGTCCTGTTGTGCTCTCTCTCTCTCTCTCTCTCTCTCTCTCTCTCTCTCTCTCTCTCTCTCTCTCTCTCTCTCTCTCTCTCCTGGAACCGCCTGCAAGCAAGCTATATGTGCCTATGGATCATTAAATTAAGCCCCGAGGAAAACACAGCGAGTGGCAGCATAACGTCTATATATATATAATATATTACACTATGAGGCTAGTATGAGCAGCATAACGTCTATATATAGTATATACATATATATAGTATATAGGATAATATATAGTATGATTAAGCATACCATACATACACCCCAACAGCAGAGGCTTTGTTTGAAATACACACCTTGAGGTCCGCTATCAATCGACGAACTGGCTCGCGCACATGTGCATATGCAACCCCCTGCACCGTCCCTCGGATTGCAATCATGCCGATGACCTCATCCTCCTTGACGCTGTTTTCTACGACAGATCGATCAATTACAAAAGCAGAAAAGGAGAGTACATACAAACAAACAAACAAACAAACAAACAAACAAACAAACAAACAAACAAACAAAAGGACGAACAAACGAACAGAAGAATGGAGGAATGAACGAATGGACGAACGAACGAATGAATGAACAAACAAACAGAGGGCATCGGCTGCAATTTTTCAGTTTGCCATAGCTTGTGCCTCCTTGCTTGCGCCACACAAGTCATCAAGCACAAGCTCATGAAGTATGTGCTGGCGAAAACAGAACCATAGTGAACAAAGATTACTTCATGGTCATGACATGGCATCCATTATTAGATCCTATCTATCAATTCTTATTATTAGGATAATAATAATAACAACAACTTACAAGTCTTAAGAAGTAGGAGTAAAATATACTGTCACAAAGACATGAACTAATTTCAACTAAAAGAGCGCACTTTGCAAAACAAACGATAGAATTATACAGGACAACACATGCAGAAGAAGAAGAAGAAGAGGAAAAAAAAAAAAAAAAAAAGGAGAGAGAGAGAGAGACCACATGAAGAGAGCACACTCAAAGCATTCTTTTGATCATTCCTCTCTTAGTAGTAATATATATACAAAAATAATAAATTATAAATATGTTAGACTAGTATTACTAGCAGGCTAGCAGCATATCATCATCGACGTGCACTGGATCAGACAAGGTGCAGCAAACATCGGTGACGATCTAGCTGTCAAAAATTCAAAATGCAGTTCTTTTTTTTTTTTTTTTTTTTTTACAAAACAAAACTGCCCCTTCTATTCTGGGGGACGTCAGTCCGGTTGCTCATCACCGGCAAGCCTGAAAACCGAAGTACAAAATGCAGTTCTTTTCTAGAGATACTCAAATTTTTTTTTCTGCGTGCCCAGGCTGTGCCTGGAATGCCCAGTCTGGCGAGGTCCAGGCCAGGTCACTGGCAGTCCCAGAAGTGAGCACAGAAATAAACTAAAAAAAAAAAAAACTGCCAAAGGCTCTAACAAGAAGAAAGAGAAAGCGTGTGCAATCAATTCTGCACTCTGGACATTCGGCTTACTGCGAATTCGACAGGACAAGAGCACGCCGGAAAAGGACAAGTGAGGGGATATCACTCGCTAGCACAAACTACCCAGATGCTTGTTCGAGTTCACTATTGTTTTACGAGATGAACCTGGTCATGTTAAGGTAAATGGAAGCATCTTTTGGAATTGCTCAACCCCCCAGACATTCTGGTAGCAAAAAGGAATGTTTGTATCGGATGGCAACGCATACATAATAAGGGATTGTCGTGTTCAAGCTCAGCGAACAGAAACACGTTCATCTTGCCATAGAAGCTGGCAAGATACATCCATTTCTACGAGTAGCAACCAATGTATCTTCCCTCTATGGCAAGATACATCCATTTCTACGAGTAGCAACCAATGTATCTTCCCGTGTTCTGCCATAAGATGAAGTCGTCTGTTTGTTTTGCGTCGTGGGCGGATACGGTCATAATGAGGGTGCTTTGTCTTGTGTACAACAGATAGCATACGGAAAAAAAAAAAAAAAAAAAGAAAGAACGCAGAAGGTGGCAAGATACATCCGTTTCTTTGAGTAGAAAGTTGCAACCTTCTGCGTTTTTTTTTTTTTTACACATCTAGATGTGTATAAGAGACAGCCATACATACACCCCAACAGCAGAGGCTTTGTTT